TGTCAGATTGCACATCATTACAACAACACTTACCATATTATCGTAGACGATGCTGTATATCGCACACCCCAGACTCGACTTGAGTGGAAAATCATCCGCGCTTGTGCGCGCGCTTGTTTGCGCATGAGCAAAGGTGTTTTTAGGAGTCTAACTTGCAGACACCAGACCACTGATTCGTCAAACCTGCTTTCCTGCAGTCCGTGTTCTTCTGACTTCTGACTAGTTTGTAGTAAGTAACGAATATGCTAATGGGAAATGTATCGGAGTAAAAGTATACATTTTAATTAGGAAATGTAGTGGAGTAAAAGTAAAAGTTTGCTGAAATATAAAAACTCAAGTAAAGTACAGATACTCCCAAAAAATACTTAAGTACTGTAACGAAGTATTATTACTTTGTTACATTACACCACTGATTTCCTTGCTTGTATCGATTCGATCCTCGAAGTCGTGAACAGTGTCAAGCTATGCCAGTCACTCACTGTAAAGCAGTTTCAGAGACTGTTGGGTCTGATGGCAGCAGCATCCAATGTGATACCTTATGGCCTGCTGTACATGAGACTCCTGCAGTGGTAGCTCAGGACCAAGGGGTTTTCCCTGAGGGGCAACCCATTTCGCATGATCAAGGTCACGCGACACTGCATTTGTGCCTTAGTCATGCGGAAGAAGCCTTGGTTCCTGTCTCACGGACCTGTGTTGGGAGCTCCGTGTCATTGTGTAGCACTTACGACAGACATGTCCCTCATGGGTTGGGGAGCAATCATGAGTGATTGCTCAGCCCGGGATCTGTGGGAAGACCTTCATCTCTCTTGGCACATAAATTGCCTGGAGATGCTGGCAGTGTTTCGGGCTCTAAAACACTTCATCCCAGACTTCAGAGGTCACCATGTGCTTGTCCGCACAGACAACACTTCAGTGTTCTTGTATATAAACCGACAGGGGGATCTGCGGTCGTGTCCAATTTGCAAACTGGCACACCAGATCCTCCTGTGGGCCCAGGGAAGGTTGCTGTCCCTGAGGGCAGTCTATATCGTGGGGCATCTCAATCAGGGAGCAGAAATCCTGTCGAGGCAGGGGCCAAGGCCCAGGGAATGGAAGCTCCAGCCTGAGTTTGTGGGGCAGATTTGGCGAATTTTTGGTCAGGCTCAAGTCGACCTGTTTGCATCTCGGGAGACCACTCACTGTCCTCTGTGGTCTCCTCAGTCTTTTAGGGTGCTTTCACACCTGGCCTGTTGTTTCGGAACCTGGCACGCTTCCCCCCTTAGCTCGGTTTGTTTGGGCATATGTGAACACGGCAATCGCAATACCTCAAAATGAACCTGTGAATGTCTGTGGGTGAGCACGTCTTTGCCATTCAAAAATCAAAGCACACTTTATTTTATAATGCCGTCTTATTGCTCTTCTTTGTAGGTGCATTTTAAAAATGTTTTCCCGATCAATCCTGGACTCCTGCTCAAAATGATAAATTATTATAATGACAACTACAAAAAAAAACAACAACAATAAGCCCGCGAAGCTGTTATCGTTCCATCCTGACGGATGACATGCGTGACAGCTCAGTGGAATCCTGGAAAATAAACCGTGGAACTTTGACCAATGAGAGAACAGTTTACTCGCGCGTGACTTGTATTAACAAATTTGGTTCGTTTAGAAACTTTGCCATGTGAAAGCGAACCGCTCCAAGAATAAAAAGCAACATTGTAATAATTTGAATCCCTGTTTCGGAACAAAGCAATCGATCTACAGGTGTGAAAGCACCCTTAGCCTCGTTCCGGCCAGCCTGAGTTTGGCTCTCGGATCTTGTGTCCCTTCTCGACGGGTCTCCATGAGAGATTCCAATCAGGAGGGACCTTCGGACTCAATGACTACATTTACATGTGCACGAATAATGTGATTATTTCCAATAATCAGAGTAAGGACTTAATCGCATTATGATGTTTACATGTCAAGAGCAAAGCTCTTCACTCCCGTTTACATGCAATTTCCATTATTCTTATTATTCGCTAAGAATTGTGGATATTTTTTTTTACTGCCATTATTCACATACCCCACTGCACAGCACAAATGATGGACTCAGAAAGAGCAGGTGTGTTACTGGCCGCTTTTGTATGGTTGTATTCCATGCTTTTTCGGTGCCATAGAAATGTATGGCAATTCGTCTGCCTACACTGCCTACGTTCTACTCGCCGTTTCTGGATGAGAGTAAGGAACAGACTGGTGGCAGCGAGTTGTGTTTTCCCCAGAAATTGGCAGCGAATTGTGTTTTCCCCAGAAATGCAATGCTTTCTTCCCAGCCATCGTTTCTAATCTGCGTATTATTACAGGTGCGCGTCACATCATTCATGTATGTCACAAGCACATGCACACTTTCGTCAGAGCAGCAATACTGAGATTAAGGTGTTTACATGCCTGTATATTTCGATTAAAATTGGCGTACGCCACCTATGTTAATACGATTATGCTTGCTGCGATTATGAGTTTAATCACATTATTTAAATTGAAGTATTGCATTTACATGATGTAAAGTTTAATCGCAATATTGCCAAAATCTCATTATAATCGCATTAAGAGGGTGCATGTAAACGCACTGAATGGCACAATTGTTAATCCTCAGACAGAGTTATAGAAACTAAGGTTGTGGCATCTGAGGGAGCACAGCACATAGCTTCCAGTCTCTCAACTGAGGTTGTTGAAAACCATTCTCCACTCCAGAGCTCCCTCCACGAGGAAACTGTACTCCCTGAAGTGAATAGTGCGGAGATCTTCAGCTGGACTCAGGTAATTGCCCAGCTGGTACAGTGCTAGAGTTCTTGCAA